GCTAGCACGGCTAGAAAGTTGATGGTGAAATATGTGAGGTCGTAATGAGTATAATGCGTACTCAGGAGGAAGAGCACAATAGGAACGCTAAGCAGGAATTTCTTGGCGGGGGTATATTGCGCGCCATCGTCGATTTGTTCCCACATATTCAGGTTATCGTATGCGCCGCTGTTGAAGTCGAAAGGTACACCACGAACGTAGTGGAACATGATGTAAGAGCCAAACATGTAGGAAATATTGGTCAAGGTCCAAGATGTCTCCTGGGATACACCGGGTATAACGTCCCAAAGAATCTTAAGCGCAACGATCAGAACAATGTGGATGGTCCACGCCCCTGCCGATATTCCAATATTAGTTGATATTTCCAATGCCAAAAACAATCAAGGCGCGAAGGCTATAAACTTGAAAACGTCTCTCCATCACTTCCACATCTTGACATACCTTTAGCGTTGACCCAGTTCGCATTGAGATTCGGGAGAGTGGACTGATCATTCAGCTGCTCTATCGGCTCCTGTGGTTCCTGATATATCTGGAGGATGCTACTCGACCTCCGCCTCCTAGCGGACTTTGAATCACCCATATCGAGATAGGTGGTACCTCCCCGTCTCGGAGGATTTGTACCAACGTCGTAAGAGACGGTGCGGGGAATGAGGATTGGGGAAGACACTTTGGCGGTATTGGACGTGGAGTTCGTGTTGGAATTGGTATTTTCGGATTGACTCGTCATCCAGACGATTCGACCTGGATCACTGTTCCTTTTTTCCCTTCCTCTTCGGCGTACCGGGGAGATCGGATGCGAGTAGGATATTGCTGTCGTGGCGATAGTTGAACTAGATGAGAAGAAAAGATTGGCGGATGAGTACAAGGTCGAATGATCTAAAGGGGTAACGCAGAGAATGCAGCCGATGCCAAGGAGTAAAGAAAAATGTAGATGCTATGTTAGGAGAGGAGTCGTGAAGGACATGAAGGATCGAATGTCGAATGCGAGATGATGCAAGATGGAGCGACGGAGAGACAAAAGAGTTTCTAATACGGTAAACCCACCCCCTGGCTGAGAAAAAAAAGACGTGGAAATAATTGATTGACGATGAATACAATTAGCTGAAACGTATTACGAATAAAGTGGATGATCACGAAGTTTAGAAGAATGTTATAAAAAACAATAAAAAAACAAGAGGTTAAGAGAGATTAGGTAGGATCAGGTAATACCTAGAGACGAGAATGGTTATGGAAGGCGATGATCAGAAGAGTTGCAGCGAAGTAAATCAGCAGCATTTGAACAAGGACAGGTTTACGGGATGGGTACAACGTCTTTAATGGTCTAAGTACAAGAACGTATGTATTGCACAAGGACCAAGGCAGCAAGGGTACGAGAAGGCTAGAAAGCTAGAAAGGCCAAGATTTGGAGATTTCTATTGGACAAGGGGGGGAGAACAGCTACCAATTACCAATGGTTGATTGACTTTTACCCCCAATTTCTGAATTTCTAGACTAGTAATGTACTAGGATAATACTACATACCTAGGTAAGGTGACTGCACAGCCTGGACCGCGTGGCTGCAGCTGGAGATTTCGGGTATTTGCTGGGTCTCCGGTCATCTTAAGTACCCAGTAAGTAATCTTGCGTTGACATTTTCTCCAAAAGGTACCTAGGGTATTCGTTATAAGGGTCAGGGGAGTACAAGGAGAGCCTCACGAGACCACGTGATGTTTTAGTAAGTACTATAGTAGTCTCCCATTCCTTCCCAAGCAGTCGGGCTCCGCGGAATTCGACTTCAATTCTTACATCTTATTCAAGACTGTATCCGTCTAGATGCATAAGCTTGATCAATTAGTCAATCTAAAGCAGTATGCAGCCCCGCTACAAGTAGCTCTTAATCTGCTTACGCGATTAGCGTGTTTCATTTCTGAGATCGCCACAGTGGAATCTTCTCCCGCTCGGACGTATTGCCCCTGGTACTACCTAGATACTATGTACATGTTAAGAATCGGTACGCAAACCGCAACCGTACACTACGCATTTTCGCGGTACTGTACATGTACCGAGTAAAAAACGTGTGTTACCAGGGCTGCTTTAATTTTCTAAAGGAAAAAAAAACCCAGAAAAAAACAATTAAAGAGCCGCATCATCAACATCCATCAATTTGATGAACTACAGATCCACCTTCAAACCTTTATACGATGCGTTCTCGAAGTTGCTGTTCTTGAAGATTATCCCTATCTTTGAGATCTAAATGCGTTTTCAAGTTGTTTTGAGATAGTAAACGGTTTACTTAGATTATAGGTATTATATATATCGTTCTTTAACGGAAGTATCGTTATTATCTTACCTTGTCTTGCGCAACTGCGACCTACAAGCCCATTAATACATCTTGAGCAAGGCGATCACGGATTACGGCAAGAACACGACAAGTAAGCTTTGGCACTACATTATTTTGCCCCACATTACGTATTCTACACCCGCAAGTTTCACTCCTCTTTTTTTCCCATTCCTCATCCACATCACCATTATTACTCTTTATCGTCGCGGCCCTCCACTAAACTGTGATGAGCGGCGCTACCGAGGCATTCGCCCCTAACGCCGGCCAGGGCGATATTGGCACACCTAGTAGTCTATCAAGCCAAAAGCGACCACGCGATTATGGAGAACAGTTGAAGGGTTTATCTCCATCTGACGATGAAGATCACCAGAAAGACTCTTCATTACGCGTACCGAAGAAACAGAAAAAAGACGAATCTGATAGTGGTGAGGGGTCAGATTTAGACGACGGCGAAATAGTAGAGTCAACTCCAAATCCCAGTTCTACCAATCCACTACACCCCCAACCTGTCATTCAGGCCGTGGCAGACCACCCTAAAACACTCGCCCCTGATCGCATTGCGCATGAGCCTTCCGAAGATGGTGAGATTGATAGTCCTATGGCCGAACCTCAGGAGCCCAATGTGCCGGACCAACCTTTCTATATTGATAAGACCGGGAGCAAGCCCGATCAGCATCCGGGCTGGAACCAGGGGCTTAGTCTAGGTGCAAGGACGTCATTTGGGAAACCAGCGGCACAGCTATTCCCGGCAAGTTTGACTGCCATATCAGGACCTGCCTCGTCCACACCTTCACGACGCGATCGTGAGGATGATGAGAAAGAAGAAGAAGAAGACGACGACGACGATGAGGAAGATAGAGACTATAAGACACTCGTTGAATCGCCTGACAGCCAACCACGCGCTGGATTCGTTATCGATGGAAGTACATGGTACCTCCCGCATCTAACCTTCAGAGCTAAGAAGCAAACACTTCATAAAGTGGCCATATACCATGATAGAATTCAAACCTGGCTTCTTGCTTTCTTGGACGCAAATGCCAAGGAAATTGACCGTGTATCCACCAAGGTGGTTCGAGAAGCTTTTGTTGCCCATTTAAACCGCAAAGGCGCCAAGCTTTTCAAGGGAACTAAGAAACATATCGAGGCAGCTACGACCACAGCTCAAAGGGCCATAGATGATGCCAGCCTTGGGGAACTAATAGAGAAAAGGGTTAAGCAGTTCCGGTCGCGAAGAGCCAAATCAACAGGCAAAATCACCAAAGAAAGTAAAATCGATCCAGTCAAGGAGCCTATCAGAGAAGAACTCATCCCGGTCACAGACAAACGAGGGTACACGTTAGATGGTGATAATGACGATGATGAATTACGACAACAGCGAAGGTATTTCCCATGGGCAGAAGATCCAGCTCAGTACTGCCTGTCCTGTTCCGGAATTGGGCATCGCGCCCATGAATGTCTACAACGTAACTGTCAGTCCTGTGGAAGTCAGGAGCATGTTTTATTCGGCTGTCCAGACAGGCGAAGATGTTCTAACTGTCGGCAATTGGGACATAACAGCGAGAGCTGCGTGGAAAAGCTCGCGCTGGCGTCGGACGAGCAAGATGGTTGTGCTATATGTGGTGCTGATCACGCGGATGAGTGGTGCTCCGAAATATGGAGGAGTTTCACACCAATTTCCAATCCCCTAAAGGTAAAAGATATCCCAGTATTCTGCTACACATGCGGCGCCAGCGGCCATTATGGGCCAGAATGTGGATTGCCAGATCGGGGGGATAGGGTGACAGGGAAAACGACATGGTCACAAGCCAACCGCCTTCTTTATGTGGACCAGAATAGTCAGGATATTGCCATCGCCTGGGTTGGCGTAGACCGAAAAGAAGATTTCCACATTCTTGGAAGAGCGAAAAGGCAGACGCACACTCACTTTGTCTCTAGTGAGGAGTCGGAAGAGGAGCTTGTTCATGCCCCTGTCAAAAAGGCAGAACCTCGAAGTCAGATCAGGATAGCGAGCAATATCAGATCTTTAGGGCAGAGTAATCATGGTCGGTCGCGTCGTAATAATGACCAGAGTTATAGACGTCAGAATGAGAGGGAGTTCACGCCTCCACCTCCATCCCCATATGCGCAAAGCAACGGAACCCCATCCTGGCAGCCCCCTCTTCCTCCAGGACCACCACCATCCCACCAAAGAAACGGGTATCGGGGGTCACTACCATCAGCTCCCACATCCTTGCCTCCGCGCCCGCCGGCGTTTGATCAGGCACCTAGTAGAGGTGGTTCAGGTAATAGGGGCGGCCATTTCAATCGAGGCGGCCGGGGTGGACGAGGCCGAGGAAGGGCTAGGGGACGAAACTAGATATTCTACTTTAATTACGTATCGAATAAACTGGATGAGCCGTATTTACGTCGAGTTTTTTTCGTGTGTATCTACCCTCTCAGTACCCGGTCGCGATGTGAATTGAAGTCCTGCAATTATTTAGATGACGGCCCAATATACGTTGACTAGACTCGGTGTAAAATGTATTGGTATACGCTTGCTATATATTGAGGGGTGACTTCTGGGAATAACATATTGAATTAATTACCATTTGCTGTCAGTTCACTTAAAGAGAATTTTTACCATGAGCGATTTCACCACCCATCCGACTGCTACACCATGTCCACTAAGACATGGTGGTCGGCCCGGTTAGCTCAATCGGTAGAGCGTGAGACTCTTAATCTCAAGGTTGCGGGTAGGTTTACCCATTATCCATTACCCTGGTGGGCTCTTCTCATGATCCGAGGCTAACATCACCATCAAGGTTCGACCCCCGCATCGGGCTCAATTCCTGATGCTTCCCAGCTCACTGGGATTGCCGACCCAAATTCGGGTTCTTTTTAATTTAAAATTTTTTTCTCGCTGTTATTTTTTCTCGCTGTTAGTGAGAGAGATATCTAACCTAGTATAGTGATTAATAAATAATGTTTATGGATTTGGCTAGGTTACTTTTTTCTAGGGTTTATATTCGGAATAGGGGTCAGCGACCTCGTTAGTTCAGTTAAAAGCCTGACCTGAACTGTACCTGACCTGACCTGACCTGCCCAGGTCTAATTTTTACAAGACCTACCCAGGCCAGGCCCGAAATTTTTTTATCTGACTAGCAAACAGATAAGTTGAGGCTTTCAAACCCCACTTTAATATATATCGGAGGCATATAATTGGTCCATTCAAAGTAATTTCATCAATTATAATTATTATATACGTATTATTTTTCGAAAATATTGAGGCATTTTTTAACGTTTTAATTTAAATGAAGTAATAATTAATTATTTAAATAATTTTAATATTTTTAAATTACGGAATTCTTATTGTTTTTCGTTGTATGCTATGAGGTTAGCCGAGACCTCGAAAAACGAAATGACGATAATATTTTGGTGTTTTGAGAATTTTGAAAAAGTGGATGTAAGAGAAGGTAGGGGGCAACCACTTATATAAAGAGTAAAAGTGGGCCCGGGCTATGGATTGGCCTGTGCATGTGAGGTACGTATTAAATTCGGAACAATAAAAACACGTACTGAGGCGGGCTAAAATGGTGTTTTTTGTGGTTATGACGATTTTTTGGTGTTTTTGAAAAAGAGATGTAAGAGGAGAGTTTCCAAAATAGGTGGTGGTGGGGCGAGGTGGGTATCTACGAGAGGCCACCCCTTGGGTGGCACAAGAGCCCGAACTCTTATTTAATAACCCTTATTAAATTTTATATAATTATATAAATTTTGAAATATTATATATATATATATATATATATTAATTTTAATTATATAATTTAATGTAATTTTATAATTTTTTTTAAAAAATTTTTAATTATTTAAATTATATTTTATAAATATTTTATATTAATAATTAATTTATTTATTAATATTTATAATATATATTGAACCAGGGTAGTGTGATTAGGTAATAGGAGCTACCCTGAAGGACCCTGTTGACCCCCCCTTCTAAGATTTACAGCTCTTTTGGATATAAATAGGTCTTCAGGAGTTGTTTTCTTGCCTGATCAGCTCAAGTCATACATAGTTCTTCAGAGATCGTCTCCATAGAGCTTCATATGAATAATATATACCTTTTTAACCTATAACCTCATCATACGCGCTACCATTGCCGAGCAGTCACCTACAGCAGCTATTCTACCTGATCATCCTATTATACTCCTTAAGATATAGTCACCTTGTATCCTCGAGCTTATACAGCCTCTGGCTTGCTATGGGTTAGTTGAAGTATAGGGCATATCCTGCAGGAGCTATTAGAGCTCCTGTTCAATATATATATATATTAATATTTAAATATTTATTTTTATATTATTATTATTTAAATTAATTAATTTTATTTAATAATAAATATAATTTTTAAATAAAAATAATATATATTTTAAATTTAGAAATAAATAATTTTAATAAATAATTTTAATATTATAATTTATTAAAATAAAATAATATTTTTTAAATATAAAAATAATATAATAAAAAATATTAAAATTTTATTTAATTAAAAATTATTAAAATATAATTATATATTTTTATATTAATATTTATTTAATTAAATATATATATATATATATAATTTTATTTATTTATTTATTACTACCCCAATTTACCTAGAATATATTATAGGTATCCGGTCCATCTTTTGGTATTTGTTCCGGGTAGGAACCGTGTTCCGGAGAAAACCTACCCGCCGCCTATCCGAACAAGCTACGTTGCCAT